AGTCCGGCTCCACTGCCCCCGGCCCGGCCTCCCCCTGTGGCAGCGTGCAGATGGGCTGCAATCGCTAATAAGGAATTGTACAGCTCTGCTTATCGGTCCCTCCCAGCACCAATTAAAAAGATTTAGTTAAGCAGAATGCAATTACACTGTCATGGATAAAAGGGATACGATTAATTAAAAAAAGAAACGCTTTCCCTGAGGAATGCTGGTATTTCCAGATGCTCCCATCCCTGTCCCCCATTGCTCTGTGTGATCCGAGGCGAGGAACTGGTGTGAACTGGATAGTGGAGAAGTAGGCAGGCGCCCAGGGCTGCAACGAGCTCATTTCCCAGCTCCTCCGACTGCCAAGGACAAGCAAGTTAGTAAGTCCCATGAGGACACATTTCTGTAGCCCTGAAACATTATTTCCAGCATTGCCAATGCCATTCTCTCCACATTTCCAAGGAGCTGAACTTTTCATCGATGCTGTCGGGCACTGTGCTGGGACTTGGGTCCTCGTGGAGAAAAGGCTGAGCTTTCTGTTGACAGCGGGGAAACGGGAAGCAGCTGGGGACTGCGGGAGGAGCGCTAGAAGGATTCACCAAATCAGCAGGGAAGCAGTTGACGTGGCTGATACCTAAAGGGTGGAACTTAAAGTTTCATGCCTTGTGACTCTCTGGGAGGAAGAAGTGTCACCCTGAGTACTTGCTTCCCAGGGTGTGGAGACACGTCGCCGCAGCCAGCACCTCGCCCAGGAAACTCGGATCCAGAAAACTCAGTTCTGCAGCAAAGGGCAGATATTACAGTCACAGAGTTTTCTAGCACAGAGGATCCTGCTGTTAATATGTATTAATAAACAAGTAGTACTTATTCAAGCATTGCTGTGTCGCAGTTTTAGTATTAGTGTCAAGGACAAGAAGCAACACGGAGGAGAAGGCTGCAGGTTATCCATGGAGTGTGATGACAGAACGAATGCAATTTTTACAGCCTCAACAGAAGTTACGTACAATTAAAAATGCCACCTAGGCACCCAGAGATTCTCAAAAGCAAAATGTTTACTAACTAAAAGCCGATTCTTTAGGTTTCTAAAGCCTCAAGTTTATGCTGAATGCATCCATAACATATCTTGCCCTAGCAAAATTATTGATGATTCCGGCTGAAAATATAGAAAAGGCAATTTCATTTAGCTCACACCTAGGAAGTTGTTCTGTCTGAGGGTTGTCGTTCTATTTTTTTTTTAAAGTACATTAAAGCTAGCACATTGATTGTCAAGTGTAATGAAAGAATGACTTCTCCTGCTCATATCAGAGACGGTCAGAGGTAAAAATTTTAATATGCACATTGGGCATATCTAAAGGTTAAACTCGTCTTGTAATATATGGCTCACTAATTTTATTTTCATCCATCTCTTCCCAAGTCACCTATTGTTTGTGAACTAGAGTAAGATCATAGCACCGCAAATCTGCAGACACGTTTCTTATCTTTTTCTGATAAACGTAGCAGTGGAAAGCAGCGTTGGGCCACGAAACCCAGGAAATTTTTTCTGTCTCACTTGCTGTCAGAACTGGTTACAGGTCTGCAGGCTATGCCTTGTTAACTCTCTTCCCACTAGCATGGTCCAGCAAAGGTCCAACCAACCATTCAGTTCAGCTCACAGCCCGTACTAGAAGTAAGTGTTTCTGATCTGAGCAAAGGGACCAGTTCTGCTTTCATTCATGCTAAAGCTAGAGCAAGCATCAATGTAGGCAGCTGGCCTCCTGTGACACAGAGCTGAATTTAGCCCAAAGTATTTAAACAAAATGTTAGCGGTAGAGCCAAATGATTATCCATTTATTTCAGTATTTGTCTTTTTCAAGTGTGACCTAAAATCTATAAGTAATTAGTTATTGTGTTGGCTACGGTATTACAAAATGCTTCCCATCATTTTTTATTCAGACTCCGAGTTGTAACTCCCAAATCATTCTAGTCACACCCATCTTCAAAGGTCTAAGTGAGGAGGAAGGTGAGGGGGGGCTAATGCCTTGATATCTTTGAGATTTGCAAGAATATTTGAGGATTTGCTGGGGACTCAGTGCAAGATTAAAAAAAAAAAAGAGGTTTGCAGGCAAACAGAGGAACTTGTGCCTGCAGTTCAAAAAGAAAGACATCTCCAAGCGGGGAAAGATTTAAATGTTAAAGTGCTAAATAAACATTACTATTCAGCAGCAGTCTTTGTCTTTTGAGTCCTAGGTTAAAACTACTTCACAGGGACTATAAAAGCTCATTGCTCTCCTTTGTAGACGCTAAATGAATTTTAAGGGTGCCAGCTCCAGAGCAGAAGACTTACCATCGCAAACTCCTCCCAAATCATCTACATACCACCCAGGGAAAAGGA